TTAACATACAATAGTTACTGAATAAAGTACTGGATGTTCAATATATATTTAAAAAGTAATAAACTGTGATATATCATGACAATAGTTAGAAAAATTAAGAGAAATTTTATTTTAATATAAGAGGAAAATAAAGAACGAGGAAGAAGAATGAAGGACTTGACTATGGCTAGGCAACATCAAAATGGAAGAAACTAACAACAATATTTTTTATTTTTTTTTATGACAAGGGAAACCCGCAACCGCTACCCTTTGGGTGCACACAGGGTAAAACCCCCGCTCCTATGCAATAGCTCGCAAACCACGTAGGAGAGGTAACTGGCACTAGGCAAGCCTGGTGCGACGAGCTCGACCCAGAAGGCAAACCCCTTGCTTTCGCTGGCAAGGGGTTTCGAACACCTCCAACATGGAAGTCCCAAGCCCAAACCCCTGGGCCACCACGAAGGGTACTAACAACAATATTTAGAACCCTAAGTTTTACTTACTTTTCATTTTCTCTTTAATTTCAAAATTAATTTGAAAAATTGAGTGATACTTTCAGCGAGTTCTAAATTTTGTTGTGATATCTTTTGTGTTTGGCCATTGTGGGCATTAAAAAGAAAAAAAGAAAAAAAAATGAGGACAACTTTTTTTTCTTTTTTAAAAGAGTGAAATAAAATGTGACCAGCGGAATGGATCCCTGGTTCAAAACTGGGCAAAGATTCAGCTGGTTCCTCATTCTCCACTGAGCTAACAACAGAACTTACGGCTGGGTTCCCTACTCCATTTTGTGTTATATTTAAAGGGTTTTACATTATAAATACAAGGTTTTACATTATAAATACTGGTTTCCGGGAACCCACATGGGAAACTGTAGATCTGCCCCTGCTCCTCTGTCCCCTTCGGTTTGTCATGGATAACCTTGCTTGTTAGTTTTGTTGGGCCTTAAAGAGTACTTTTTTCTCTCTCTCCCTTTCTTGCAATTGGAATGTGAAAATGTCTCCCCTTCGATCATGTCATCCCCATGAGACAAAGGTTGCTGTAGTGTGGTGGTGTAATTCACATTAATCTTAAACATATGCGAAACTAGTATTGACAGTGTTCCTGTGATATAATACTTTCATTTGCTTATTGTGGCTGTTTTGCAGTCTGAGGAGAAGATAAGGGTGCTTCATGAAAGGAAATCTGAAAAGCTGAAGAGATTAGATCAAAAGGGTGCTGAGGCTCACAAGGTTGACATGACAAGGCAATTGGTTAGAAGTCTCTCCACAAAAATTAGAATTGCGATTCAGGTTGTCGATAAGATCTCTGAGAAGATAAACAAGATGAGGGATGAAGAGTTATGGCCGCAACTGAATATACTTATTCAGGGGTATGTCTTTTTTCTGAGTCTCTTTTTTGATAACCTGTGTTTTTTCTGAATCTTCTGGATTAAATGGATACCTTATGTTTAATGATATATAAAAGAACTCTCTGTCTGGATTGGCTATCATTAGATTTCTGTAGATGCACTAGATGGAAGAGAAAAAGTATTGGTTTGCCACATTTTTATTACTGTTTCTGATTTGTAGTCCAAGGTTATTGTAATGACATCATTGTACGCCTCCAAGCTACTGCACCATCTAAAGTCTTGTCTATTGATCTCCCTGAATGATTTCAAGAAATTGATTTGGATTCAAATGTGATGTTCTTTTTTCGTGTATCATTCCTGTGGCCGACAACCTGTAGAGATTAAACGTTTTATAACTTTCTTGTGATGAGTTTGTCAAGTACTTTTGTACTAAAGTGTTCTACCTCAATAACTGCTTAAAACTTTTACATTAGCAATATGGTAATTGCATAAATCTGTTCTTTATGCAAAATTCAAGTTGGCTTGTTTATTCCTAGTTTTGAGGGATTAGAGAATGGTTTGTAATCTGAGAAACATCCTTTTAATCCTAGTTTCTTTTGACACATACATGGTTCCAATTGGTATAGAAGATTAGGTTTCTTTCATTGAAATTTATGTATTTTTGTAGGTCTTCTACTCTTCGGTATACCACTTGTATAGGCGAGGTTTCTCGTGCTCCCAGCTTTATTGAACGTATTAGACTCACTTTTTTTTAAAAAAAAAGTTGGCTTGTTTATTAGGATGTGGAAGCTATGACCTACATATTCAGCCTTTACAAACACACATTATACTGTATTATTAGAAAGTCAAGGGTGGATGAATGTATAGCTGCTTGTGAAATGTGAGACTCCTGAAGAGGATTCTTGCTTTCACTAAAAACTGAATGCAATATCTGGAGTTGCGAAATCATCAGTCAGTTACAGCTGGGCAATATATTGTGGGATGCTTGGATTTATCTTGATATAATGTCTATTCCTAGTACTGTCGGATTGTTAGAGATTTTTCAGCTGAACTTTTATCTCCTTTAGGCCAATATAGTTATCTAATGCAACTTTCTCCTTATGTGGATTCTCTATTTAGGTTAAGTAAAATGTGGAAAGGCATGCTTGAGTGTCATCGTAACCAATGCCAGGCTATTGGAGAAGCCAAAAGATTAGATGCCATTGCATCTCACAAACACTTGAGTGATGCTCATCTTGAAGCCACTCTGCAGCTTGAACATGAGCTTTTGAACTGGACTTTGAGATTCTCTTGCTGGGTGAATGCACAGAAGGGCTATGTGAGAGCACTAAACACCTGGCTCATGAAATGTCTTCTGTATGTGCCCGAGGAAACAGCCGATGGAAGAGTTCCCTTTTCTCCAGGCAGAATTGGTGCTCCCCCAATTTTTGTCATCTGTAATCAGTGGTCACAAACCATAGAAGGAGTTTCTGAGAAAGAGGTTGTTGACTGTATGCGAGATTTCGCATCAAATGTCCTTCAGCTCTGGGAGCGAGATAAACATGAAATGCGGCAAAGGATGATGGTGCACAAGGATATGGAGAGAAAAGTGAAAAACCTTGAGAGGGAGGATCAGAAGATACAAAAGGGGATTCATGCACTGGACAAAAGAATAGTACTCATTTCTGGGGATGAAACTGGTCTCTCATTAAATAGGCATGTCGTTTACCAGAGTGACACAAGCAAAAATAGTAGCCTTCAGGTCGGTCTGAGACATATTTTTGAGGCCATGGAAAGGTTTACTGCCAAATCCTTGAAGGTGTATGAGGAACTTCTACAACGCATTGAAGAGGATGATCTGGCTTAAAGAGCATGAGAAATTGGTATAGCACTACCTTGAGAAGGTTATGTCTTCTGGGTGCCTGTTATTATGGTACTGTTGGAAGTTATTGAACAGAGGACAATGTGAAATGGAGCAACAGAAACCTTGTTGTCTTTCTCTGCTCTTGCTGTAGCATCATCATAGCTTGATCAGTTTTAGTTTGGAAGCAGGGTTTATGGCAGAGGTAATTCCTGAAATAAGGGGATTAAATACCCTAGGATAGGCACCAATCCTCAAGTAACTAATGTGCTTACCAGAGGGGACCTGAGCTAGTGGAGATGTATATATATTATGAAATGCTATGACTACCTTGGCGCTAAATGGGAGTATTTATGGTTGGAGACATTATGACATGCTACGACTACCTTGGCGCTAAGTGGCATGGTGGTTGTTCACCCCATTGGCACCATTGAGGCTTGAAGTGGTGGCCAGCCAGTCCCTGTGGCAAGTTTGGTAGCTACCGATGGACTAAGTTGAGCCAGACTGAGGACTCCGTGCTCCTGGAGCTGCTATTGGGTTTGATATTTTGAGAAAATGATTGTTAGAGATAGATATATGAGCTACGGCAGGCCATGTTCATGTACAGATGGACAGTACTCTTGTGATAATTGCAAATAAGCGAAGTAGGGGTGGCATCTCTAAACCATCTAAGGGAAAAAAGAAGAAGCATGAAGAGTTGTTCGTTCATGGGCGTTTTTCAGTTGGATTGATGAGGAGAAGCTGTTTGGTAACGCAAGTCATTGATACTGCTGGTTGCGTGGCACCAGACCTGGCTGAGAACAGAGAGATGATACTTGTAACTTGTAAGTAAGTTGTATTCAGATTGTTCTATAAAATTCTGATAATAATCTGTATCTTAAATTTTGTGTATATAGGACTGGATATATATATATATATATTATGATAGATATATAGTGCATTCTATCCGACGGTAGGACCCAGTAATAGTAATAACATTTTGCAATACTGTTCAAATTTATTGATTTGAGTCATCTGCCGATTCTGTCTTAAATTTATCAAAACCTCAAACATAACGTTCTGCAGGTGTTGCAAACTCTTTTTACTAGGATCACAATGTGCATGTAACAAACACGGTTATTTTGACTACTGTTAGATTAATCAGTAAACATCAACGAATAAAAAGGCTATCATTTAAAGATGAATAAAATTTAACGAGTGTACTCAACACGATAGGTAATTAAGACAATAACTAGTCAGACAATGGAGTCCAATCTTTTATAATCATAGGGACTGGCGAGCATGACGAGTTGGGACTTCATCTTCACTGGTGTACAGAGGCCTTGCTGTCATGGTGGAGTTGTTAACCTGGGCACCCAGTATGGATGTAATAGTTGCAAAAATAACATGTCCCGTCTACCTTCTCTTTTCTAACAAAGAACGAAATAGGCAATCACCAACTCCATGCAAAAAAAAAAAAACATAACACGGAAAAAGAAAATGATGATACAGATTTAATTATTGTTACAAGTAGTATAATCTTATCACTACATGAATGAGAGAGGGATTCTCACCCTATATACTTTTTCGAGGTAGGAAACGCAGTCTTTAAGAAACCCAAATTCAAAGCCATGATTTTACAACTACTTTAAAGAGATATTGTTTCATAATATTTTTCTTTGTAGCATAATAAATGATTTAGAACTTTAAAGGTGATTCTAGTTAAGGTTGATGAGAATTTACCCTCTTGGTTCTTCTTCTACAGTATACATTGTATATAATTACACGAATATCTTTTAATTTTGGACGGAATTCACAAGTATTATGTATTATAGAAAAGAATTGTAAATAAAAATATGTAATCCAATGAATTAGTAATATAGTATGAAAAAATAGTGACCAACGAATTTATTTTGTAACTTGAGTGATAGTAGAGGCACTCGCCAAGGCCTTTTTTTTTAAAGAAAAAATGGCAGTGAGAACAAAAACCAAACACCTCTCGTGCGCCAAAACCATCCGCCGCCTCCGGCATCAGCCCCGCCACTGCCTCCGTAAAGAAGGTACTCATTCTCTTCTCAAGGAAGATCCGTTGGAAATCCTGTCTAATCTGTGGATCAAAACTTTCTCTCAACCCCAAAAACCCTTCACTAACCTCACTGGCTTTCTCTCAAAACTCGATCTCTGGATCCTCGCTTACCAACGCACATATGCTCATCTCACTGGTTCTTTCCCCCCTCGGAATGCTATCCAATCCCATGTTCTATCCGACCTCTTATCCCTCCGGAATACAGTTATCCGTGGAAAATTCCTTTGGCATACAAAAATCCATCAATATATTCGTGGCCCTAATGAAAAACCCATTACTGAGCAGCTTTCCAGGAGTCAGCTCCAATCTATACTCACATCCAAAACGCCGCCCTTTCAGGATGTTGTGGTACAACAAGCTTTACTTATGATATTTGAACCCATTTTTGAGCCTAGGTTTTCATCAAAGTCCCATGCTTTTCGCCCTGGAAGGAATCCCCATACTGTTATTAGGACCATTAGAAGTAATTTTGCTGGTTATTTGTGGTTTCTGAAAGGTGATATTAGTGAGGTTTTTGATAATGTTGATGTTGATGTCGTTATGGCTACTCTTGAAAAGGCTATCAAGGATAAGAAGGTGTTGAACTTAATAAAGTCGGGGTTGAAAGCTCATCGACGTGGAGAGGAGGGTGAAGAAGAAGAAGAAAAAGATAGCAGGAAGAGAAAGAAGGGGCGGACAAAAAAGAGGATTTTAAATGAGAATGAGCCCAAGCCAGATCCTTATTGGTTAAGGACATTCTTTGAGTTTGCTCCGCAGGAGGCTTCTAAGATACCCAATTATGGTGGTTGTGGAATTCTAAGTCCTTTGTTGGCTAATGTATGTCTTAATGAGCTTGATCATATGATGGAACAGAAAATAGTTGAGTTTTTTAGGCCGTGTGAGCGAGACACGATATGGAAATATTCTATGGATGATGGTTGTCATAATCCTGCTTGGCCTGAGTTTGTTCCTTCAAGTGGAAAAGAGAAGACGAGGAAGATGGATTTTATAAGGTTTGGGGGTCATTTCTTGGTTGGGATTCGAGGGCCTAGACAAGATGCCGTGGAAATGAGGAAAGAGATAATTGAATTTTGTGAGAGAATTTTTGGGGTCAGGTTGGACAATTCAAAAATAGAGATTGAGCATATTTCTAGGGGAATTCAGTTCCTGGATCATATTATTTGTCGTCGTGTTATTTATCCAACTCTACGTTACACAGCCAGTGGTGGTAATATAGTGAGTGAGAAAGGTGTAGGTACTTTGCTTTCAGTCTCTGCTAGCTTGCAACAATGTATCCACCAGTTTCGAAAGCTCAAGCTTGTGAAAGGTGATAGGGATCCTGAGCCACTGCCTTGCACACCTATGCTTTACTCTGGTCAAGCTCACACTAATTCTCAAATGAACAAATTCCTTGAGACAATGGCTGATTGGTTCAGATATGCAGATAATCGGAGAAAAGTTGTTGGCTTTTGTGCATATGTGGTTCGTAGCTCTCTGGCTAAGTTATATGCTGCCAGGTATAGGCTGAAATCTCGTGCCAAGGTTTATAAGATTGCCTCGCGTGATTTAAGCTGTCCATTGAGGGAGCACACCAACAATTCTGCACCTGAGTATTCAGATCTTTTGAGGATGGGACTTGTTGATGCTATTGAAGGTGTTCGGTTTTCCCACATGTCCTCAATCCCGTCATGTGATTACACTCCATTTCCAAGGAATTGGATCCCTGATCATGAGAAGGTGTTGCATGAGTATATCAACTTACAGGACCCCAAGTTTTTCTACCAGCTGCACAAGTCAGTTAAACAGCATGGTATGTGTTTTCCTCAAGATGAGATATCTCATATTGTGTGGCAGTATAAGACTCTTGGGGTGCGAAACTTGTCGCAGAGGTTACGTGATGACAAGGGGATGGAAAATGCTTATGAGAAAGTAATGGTGGCATCATCATGAACGTGGCATGAAATGTGAAAGTTTATCAACATATATTGCTATTGATGGTGCCAACTGACTTCTTATTTTTCTGAAGCTAGATGATCAATGTCTATCTTGATGGATGATATTAAAGTTGGAAGTTGATCTTATTTAACAATCCTGGTGAGCAGATTAAGCTCGATTACAGTGAACAGATTCCCTTATAAAGCTTTTTCAGTAGAGAACTAAAGATTAAATTTGTCAATACAGATTTATGAGACCATTTTTAGTACGTCTTTTTGTAAAATTCTCTTCTTATGGTTGAGACCTGTGAGGAATAACTGCTCCAATAAGCATCTATAATTTGGATGAGTTTCTGAAAGGAATAAATTATTGACACCAACATATGTGCTTTTAGCTTTAGACTAAAACACTCGCCATCTCCACGCCCCCTACCGCAAGAATAATAGCTTTTTTTAATTGCATATATAAGTTGGATGAGTTCCATCAGAAACTTACATTCTTAACACTTCAGAGATCTTTTAGCTTCTTCCTTAAACCCTAGCCTGCACATATATTCCCCCATGGAAACTGTGTGATCTGCTGCAGCAATGGGATGAAGTCATGTCACTCCAAAGCTGAACTGAAGTTATGGCTATGACGTGATAGCTCATAAGTTCTGCTGAAATAAATGTAGCCAACAAAATAAAAGTTGCATTCCTGGTATTTTGCTGCAGAAGAAAAGATGTTCATCTTCAGCTCCATATACCCATATATAGTAAACAGAGAGCTTGAGGACTGCCTGCATATTTTCTGAAGACGAATGAATAGTAAGCTGTGTGAATGCTTCCACAAACAATGGCTCCTCGCTCTTACTTGGGCATTTTTCAGTTGGATCGAGACTACACTAGTGGAACGTGAGAAGAGGCTGTTCGGTGATGCAAGTCATTGAAGCTGCTGATTGCCTGGGAAAAGACCTGCCTGAGAAGAGAGATATAATACTCGTAAGTTAGTTGTATTCAGATTGTTGTACATGGCCTTGTTCTTTAAATTCTGATAATAATCTGTATCTTAATTATGTGTATATAGGACTGGATAGATGACCCAAATACATTTTTATGATAAATATACGGTGCATTTTATCCGACATGGGACCAGTAATAACAATATCAGCGCAGTATAACATTTTGCAATGTTCAAATTTGTTGATTGAGTCATTATTCATCACATCTGCCTATTCTATCTTAAATTTATCAAAACCCATCTGTCAGATACACACTTTCACAAATGATGTTGCGGATTTGTGAAGTATTGGGGTGAAGTGATTAGTAAGGACATGGCGCAGTCTTGGCTCACCGAGGATATGACCTTGACAGGAGGGTGTGGAGGTCGAGGATTAGGATAGAAGGTTAGTAGATAGTCGAGTGCTTTGTTTTCCCATTTCTGGAGAACTAGTATTAGTCTTGTATTTTCGTATTCTTAGATTTCTATTTCTGTTTCTATTTGTTGATTCTTTAGCCTTGATTATTGTATTTTCAAGTTGCTCTTCCTGCTTGTTACTGCTATACTCTTTTTCATCTGGTTTGAGCCAAGGGTCTATCGCAAACAACCTCTCTTCCTTTTATGGTTGCTGTAAGGTCTGTGTACACACTACCCCACTTGTGGGATTACAGTAGGTACGTTGTTGTTGTTGTATTAAAGTAGTGCACAGATCAATTTTTCTTTGTTCTTTTGAACTGAACAATCCAACATCATTTTGGGCCGTTGATTTACTTAAAAGCAACCAGAATGCTAGACAATTGTCTAAAGCCTCAAACATAACCTACGTTCTGTAGGTGTGCTTTTTTTGGGTCAAAAAGAACAAATTTTCATTACTTAAAGCAAAACAAATACAGGGAGTTGACAGCTCACAGGGTGTAGCAGCAGACTTTGTTACGCAGTATAGTAGAAGAAAGAGTAAAGGGCATTGTAGTGTTGTAGGCTGCACTTCATGCGTTGTCAGCTATACTATCTGGCATTGGGTTACAAAAGTTAGTGCCTGTTCTATCTACTTCTGCTTCACTCATGTGACTGGCAAAAGACGGTGTAGAATAAAAAAGAGTGAGATTGAGCAGTGCATCGTTGTTAGCTCCAGGCATGGCTAGGCTATCCGCTACTTGATTTTGCTCCCTGAGGCTCATGCTGCTGTTGAATTGCGGACCTGCAATCATACAAAATATTAACATATTTTGCATTAGGTGATGTCAACAGTGTATCTCTTTTGCATCTTGGAGTGATGTAATGAACCGGGCTTATAGCTAAGTCGAACACAGACAATTGTATCCGTTATTATATTTAACCCGCTGCAAGAAAGATGATTCGTTTGGTTTCATGCCATTTTAGTTAATTGTAATCTTGTAGAACCAAGAGTAACCCTTAAGGGAAACTGGTATGATCATCATTTTCCATATCCAAAATACCAACTTGTATACCATCATTAACATCAATGCATACTAATGAATCTATAGCAACTACTTGCTACTTTTATACATTCTATATTGACTAAAAAAAAAAAACTTTTTAATGCGTGAGACTTTTTTATAATGGAAAATGGTCAGATTTGTCTTTAAACCATACAAAAATGGACTAAATTTGCCCTCTTCTAACCCTCAGCACCTCCAACAGCCACTGCTCCATCACCCGAGCTCTAACTTACCACTCTTATGTTTAAAAATATTGATCTGTACGTGTCCTTTTTTTCATCAAACAATTTGGCAAAATAAACGGATCTTGACACCTTTAGAGACAATTGGAATCTTGGCAACTATAGTATCATTAAATTACACGTGTGATTTAGAATTACATGTATTGTCATTACTCATTACATTAGTTTGTTGATCCTCTATGGGAGGCAAATTAGGATTACATGTACATTTAATTTCTACATTTCACGTCGTCTCAAAATATGGGATGAGTTTTCACGAACAAATTAATAGACATGCTGAGAAGATGCAACAATGGATAAAAAAAAAATATAACTGTAGTACATCTAAGAAATTTAAAATTTTGATGGCTGTAAAAATTTTTGGTGTCGACAATGGAGCTAGGGTCCGTCTGATTTAGATTAAAGGCTTAAAATTCTTCTTCCAGGATCTTAGTGTTGATTTTTGAGATTTATCAACTACAATTGTTTTGCTGGTTAGACATATTCCAGTTTCTTGTTTCCCACATACTAATCTTCAGCTTATTTAGCAGAACAGCTGGCAGTTGTCAAGATTGTTGTTGTCTCTAGGAGTTATCAAGGGATACCTAGCACACAAACATCGCCTAAGTGGTAGCTTGATATAACTCTATCATCCATGTGCTGGAAAAGAGTGTCTCATTGCATTAAGATAGGCTTTTCTTGGCTTGAAGAGGCAGAAGAGCTGTCAATTTTCTTTTTGGTAGGAGGAGGCATGCCACAAACATCGCCTAGAATAACTAAGTTGCCTGTTAGATCTAGATCCAACTCAGGTCCCTATTCTCTACTTATATATATATGAAACAAAAGCCAGAAAAAAAAGTAGTACAACTTGAGAACATAGAATTGGACCTTTCAATTCAACAAGAAAAAACAAATGGCTCCTCCCTCACCTTTGAGATCAAAAACCACCCTAAAGCATGCTCGTTCTAGCAGCTTTCCCTCTACATCTCACCCTATTATATCTCAATTCGATGAGCAACTGTCTAGACTTACATCTTCTTCAGAGGCTACTTCTTCCTCCCTTTCATCCTTCACTTGTAGATTTGGTGATCTTGAAAACTTATTGGATTACACGGAAGATTTGCTTCAACTACCACATGTTCAACAAGCCATTTCACTGAACATTGATGAATTATTAGAGGGGTACCTCAAGGTATTAGACATTTGTTCCACCATCAAAGATCTTTTGTCGAATGAAAAACAAAACAGACAAGACCTTCTTTCAGCTCTTCGTAGAAGACGGAATATGGATGACATTTCTGGCTATCTAACCTCTAGAAGAAAGTCCAAGAAGATGATCCAAAAAGTTGTTAAAAGTTTGAAGAGCATGATCAAGGAAAATAACTTGGCATCAAAAAAGCCTGAAACATCGGCTATTGTTGGAGAATTGCAGGATGTCCAGTTAGTCACTCTAGGACTATTTAAGGGCTTCTTGTGCTATGTCAATGGAACAAGATCTCAATCAAGTAGTTGGTCCTTGTTGTCCAAGATTATGCTCTCAAAAGGTGAGGAAGTAGAAGCCAATGAATTTGACAATGTTGATGCTGCTTTGTGCTCACTTATCAGTCACAACAAGACCAGCAAATATGAAGAATTGACGAGTCAGTTGCGAGAGATGGAGGTAACCATTGAGGTTGTTGAAGAAGGGCTTGAATGCTTTTTCAGGCGTTTAATCAAAACCCGAGTGTCCCTCCTCAATGTTTTGAATCACTAGCAAGTCAATAATGGATGTTGCCTATCCAAAAGTTTTGTACTACAGTAACACATGTACATTTTTATTATAATATACATCAAAATGAAATACAAGATCAACTTCATTTTTTTGCTGCTACAAATATCTCTCTTATTGAATACAATGTCAAGTTCTGTTTCTGCTACTGCAACAGTTTATCCCATTTCTTGGATTAATATATTTAGATGTTGATTAAATTGGAAATCTATTGTACTCAGTTAAAATTAATCTGCCTTGGCTAGTTTTACCATAGGCTTTTCAACATAATTGGTTTGTACATTAAAAATGGTAGACCAACTGAGACTGTCATTTCATGTGTAGAGAGTTGACAAGATTCTTTCTGTTGCAAACTTTTCGACAATGTTCAGATGCCTTTCTATTTAATTAGCAGTTCAAATTGAGTTGTGTTTCTGGATTTTTGATCAAAATCTTTGCGGAGTATACGGATCTATAGATGACATATATAGCTGAAACATCGCCTAAGTGATAGCTTCACACAAATCACTTGTCATCATGTGCGCACGGTTGCTTCCATTATTTGTATAAAGTGCACGGGTGCCATTTGTGCGTGTAGTTGTCAAGATTCTTTTTGTCTCTACCAAGAAGATCACCAATGGCAAGACTATAATATTTTGTGCAAGTTTGCATTGACAAATAAGCAAAAGATTATGTTGTTTATCTTTCTGTGGAGGCATTTGGTTGACAAGATCCGTGAAAATTGGCAACTCAATCGTGCAATGATTTAAAAATAATACTCATGTTTGTGTCAAGTCAAGACTAGTATCTTGTGGCAGCTGGGGACATAGCACAAACATCATCTAATTGGTAGTTCCATCCACATCAGAGTTATGTTACGCTAATCGGTTCTCATAAATTGAATCAAGTGCACGAGTGGCTTTTATGACTTCAGAGTTGTCAATATTGTTTGTCTTGAACAATAAGATCACTCATAAAGATAAGAGTTCATAAACACCCAACTTGCTAACATGCCATAGACATCGCCTAGAAAAGCTAGTTGGTTGTTAGATCTAGATCAAAGTTAAATCCTTTTATATATTTCAAACAAGAGCAAGAGGAAGGAGCACAGCTTGAAAACTTAGAATTGTTTAGACCTTCCAGTATGGAAAAAAAACAAATGGCCCCTTCACCTTTGAGACCAAAAACCATCCTGAAGCATGCTCGTTGTAGCAGCTTTCCCTCTTCATCTCACCCAATCGTGTCTCAATTCAATGAACACTTATCTAGAGTAAAATCATCTTCTGAGGCTACCTCTTCCACCCTTTCGACAGATTTGGTGATCTTGAAAACTTATTAGATTACACGGAAGATGTGATTCAACTACCACACATTCAACAAGCCATTTCACAAGATAAATTGGATGAATTATTAGAGGGGTACCTCAAGCTGTTGGACGTTTGTGCCATCATCAAAGATCTCTTGTCGAATGAAAAACAAAACAAACAAGGCCTTCTTTCAGCTCTTGGTAGAAGGAGGAACATGAACATGGATGACATCTCTATCTACCAAACTTCTAGAAAGAAGTCCAAGAAGATGATCCAAAAGTTGCTTAAAGACTTGAAGAGTAGGATGAAGGAAAATGTCGAGAAGTTACCTTAAACATTGGCAGTTGAAGGAGGTTCAGTTAGTCACTCTAGGCCTATTTAAGTCCTTGTTGTCATATGTCAACTGAAACGGATCTCAGTCAAGTAATTGGTCATTGTTGTCCAAGAAAAATGAGGAAGTAGAATCATCCAATGTTGATGCTGCTTTGTGGTCTAAGACTGGTAAATATGATGGATTGCAGAATCAGTTGTTGAATGTTTTTTCAGGCGTTTACAGTCCAAATGTTTCGAATCATCACTAGCTAGTCAAGAATAGATGTTACAGTCCAAAGGGGTATTCAACAGTTTTGTACCACACTAATACTTGTAAATTCATATAAACCAATACTCCACAAAAATCAACTTCACTTTTTTTGCAGCTACAAATATCTCAACTTGTGTTTTTTTTCTACTACAGAGATCAAAATGAATTAGATTGCAAAATAAGGAACGCAGCAGCATATCTTTTGGTTATGCAATTAATTCATTGTCTAGTGATCAGAATCACTTGCCTTTTGTGTAGAAATTGATTTATAATGTGAATCAAAGAGTATTTTTCTTATTTCCTCAAGTAAGAACTGTCATCTCCTGTATTCAAATTAGCAAATAAGAAATAATAAAAGATGAAAAGAAAAAACAAAGAACTATCCGAGTCCACAGAACTCACTGTGTGTCCTTAAGAAATTTAATCCCCTCAAGTACTCGAGGTTGCAGATTAATTCCTTCCAAGATAAAACGGATTAACCATTAAAGAAGTAGCGGTACCTCAAACTTCGATAATTTCAACGAACTCAAAATGACAACAACGAATCACACACAGACACGATCGATCGATTTTGTTTTGTAAGAAATGTATGCAAAAGAAGGGAAGAATTCGATGCAGAAAAATGAGAGAAAACCTCTCTATTTATAGCCAACAAAGGGTAAAGGTCACAACTCTTTGGAAGGAAGATAATCTTTCAGAAAGATCACAACACTTTGGAAAAGACACAACCTTTCAAACGGTCACAACTCTTTAGAACACACTCTTTCATAAAGGTCACAACCCTTTAGAACACAACATTTCATAAAGATCACAACCCTTCATGAGAGTCACAACCCTTCATTTCTTGTTCACACCTTTAAAATCCAACAATCCCCCACATGAATAGGGAATGACTATTGTTAAAATATATGCATGAAAAACTGTATGATTCGTAAGTAAGGATTGATTGCATCTGGATAAGTGGGTTTCCCTTTAAACTTTCCATAGTGAACATATATCAGATATACTCGGTCAATCGGTAGATTTGATATCTTTGAACCGTCGAGCTTTGGTGAATACCTAGACAACATAAGTCACACAATCAACCGTTGAGCTATTTTTGGTTCTCATTGTTTTGTTCGTTTCAGCCATGAACATGTCTTGGTTTATAAGTGCGTAGAGAATTGACCTTACCGAATTCTCCTTGAAGCGGCTTACACTTCACACTTACAATGGTGATTTCTAAATGTGTTATCCCATAGATACACTATTTGACATACCCTGTATCAAACTTAGAAACCAATTAAAAAGTACATAATGCCTTTATCCTTGTTACTGAACATTGTCTTATCTTGAGAATGAACCATAAAAAAATATTTTGACAATGTTGAACCATCATCAATGACTTTATTTGATCTCCTGAAACCTAGATCTTGGGATCTCTAGTCTTCTAGGTAGAGTTACCGCCACAATGACTTGTCCTCGGCCATAGTCTCATTCCCTTTGGTAATCTATCAACTTCCTCTCTAGTTAGGCCTTTTGTAAATGGATCCGACACATTATCCTTTGACTTTACATAGTCAATTATGATAATTCCACTAGAGAGCAGTTCTCTAACGATATTATGTCTACGTCATATATGACGAGACTTTCTGTTATACATTATGCTCCATGCCCTACCTATTGCAAATTAACTCTCACAATGTATGCATACTGGAGCTAAAGGTTTGGGCCAAAAATCTTTCAAGAAAGTTCGGAGTCATCAACTTCATCACCGGCCTTATCTAGAATTATAAACTCAGATTTCATAGTAGAGTGAGCAATACATTTATGTTTGGAATATTTCCTAGAGACTGTTCCTCCACCAAGAGTAAATACATATCCAATCGTGGCTTTTACTTTATTTGACCTGGTGATTTAATTTGCATCACTATATTCTTCCAATACTATTGAATATTAGTTATAATGCAAAACAATCATTTTTAAGTATGTTTCAAATACTCAAAAACTTTTTTTTTCATTGTCATCCAATGAGTTTGATTGAGATTACTCGTGAACCGACTCAGTTTACTAATAGCACATGCTATATTTGATCGCATACATTTCATGATATATATCATACTTCTCAATACTCTAGCATAATCCAATTGTGAGTCGCTTTTGCCTTCATTCTTTTGAAGTACAAAACTCACATTTATTGGAGTCTTGACAATATTGAAATCCAAATACTTGAACTTGTCAAGTACCTTTTCAATCACATCAATAACTTCAATGTCTTTCATCTCGAAGTTACTTCTAGTAAATGCTTAGTAGCATTTATGTCAGAAATGTCTCTTTTGATGATCAACATGTCATCAACATAAATACAAACAATGACCCTGTGATTTGGAGTGTCTTTAATGTAAAGACATTTATCACATTCATTAATCTTTGAATTCATTTGCCAACATAGTTTGGTCAAACTTCGCATGCCATTATTTGGGCGCTTGTTTTTAGTCCACAAAGTGACTTAACAAGTTTACAGACTTTTTTTTTTATTAGGAACCACAAAGCCCTCAAGTTGTTCCATGTAAATTTCTTCCTCTAATTCTTTCTTTATTTATTTTTAAAAAAATGTTTTTACATCCATTTTGACGAATTTGAAGGTCATATACCGCAACTAGCACAATTAACATCTAAATAGATGTAATCCTAGTTAGTGGCTATTATATGTCAAAATAATCAATGCCTTCTTATTGTCTAAAGCATATGACAACAAGTCTTGCTTTGTATTTGTCAATAGTTCCATCAACTTTCTTTTCCTTTTGTAGATCCACTTTGAACCCAATATTTCCTGGAGGAAGATCAACCAACTCTCAAGTATGGTTGCTCAAGATTGAATCTATCTTACTATTGACAACCTCTTTAAAAAAGGGATGAGTCCATAGAAGACATAACTTCTTCGAATATATGAGACTCATTTTTCAAGAAGAAATGTTACAAAATCAAACCCAAAGGAAGTAATTTGTCCATTGACATTTACTACGCCTATGAATCTCTTTATTAAGTACATTATCATTTGGTTCGTTACAAGGTAGTTTAGACCCTTCACTTGACTATCTGACGGTTCGGACTTATGAACCATAAGTTGACATGCTTTACAATTTGTAACATATCCAATGAGCATACAATCCACAGTCTTAGGTCCTATTTTGATCCGTTTGGGAATAGTTTCATCATTTCCATTTCTCATATGGAATAGACTGTATTTGA